GTATTCTAGTGCTGTCCTCTGTCCTCAGTCAATTTATGTTAAGATGTAATGGGTTCGCCTCCTTCTTCTCATAATTTCTACTGATTTTTTCAACATTTCTTCTAAATAAATAAAGTTTATATCAACACTGGATCTGAACGAATAGATCGCCTATGAAATATATCAGTTGAATTTGATGTGTATCGGGAACGGAAAAAACTTTTCCTCACAAGCTCACGGAGAAGCGTTATATAGTTCAACATGCTGAAGTACTTGGAAAAGAAAATGATTTACCTAAATAAAGAATGTGAACGTGAACCATAATAAGCATGGGATCGAGTGTGTGTGTCAGAAACAAAATGTTTTTTTATCAACTTAAAGTAGTTTTAATAGAGAATTGCTTTCTCGTTCACATTTATGGGAAATTAAGCTTTATTTCTATGTTGCTGAACATTGAGTGATGATTCAGAAAAAGAGACTAACAACATCAGAAGAATTGAACAGAGTACGACAGTTTGAAAGGACAGAAAAGAGAAGTTCCATGAAATATATGATGTCTTTAGGTTATTCTAACATAACCCAGATTTTTGACGTAAACAACGTGATACAAGATATGAAAAAGTGTTTAATGGGAAAAAGAGAATTTTATTCGAAAAGTTCGTACATTTCTCGTTTTTCACTTTAAATTCTTTAGAAATAAAAGTACAAGAAGAAAAAGATTTCTTTTATTGAATTTTATCACTTAATAAAGGTAACAGAGAAGTTTTATGCATAAATATATCATACCCCTTTTTTTTTATAACTTTAGTCTGTTAATCGAATAATCTATCGTTTTCAAGTGTTTTTGTCAAATAATATATGAGCGAGCCTTTTATAGACGATAAATCGTTTTGAATACTGATTGTACTGCGATCTGTTTCTTCCTATGTTGATATTGGTAGCATAAATGACATTTTTTGTAGTATAATAATATCTCTTGTTTCTGAATATAAGAGTAAAATGACTCATATAATTAAAGAGTTTGAAAAAAGTTTTGTTAGACGACATCATAGATATATAAAGCGTTGTTTAGCCTCTCAAAATCGGAAAAAACAAATGAGTTTCTTCGAACAATTTTACATATTTTTGCATTTCCACTGCTTCTGATAATATGCACCTTCAACAATCCGAGCAATCAGTTCATGTAAAACAATGTGAGCACTCAGTTTCACTGGCAAAGGATAGTATAGCAAAAGTTCCCACAATAAATGTAACACATAAAGGAAATGAAAAAGAAAAGAGAATTTCAACACATTTAAGTATGCATGATCTAACAAATGCAAATGCAGCAGCCCCTGAAACTTGTAAAGAACTACTACAAGGAATCATTATAGCTGACTGGAGTTCAGAACCAGACTTAATCAACTTAAGTAGTTCCAAGAAGTTAAAGGTTAGTATTAAACTAGTCGATGATGAGAAAAATCTAATAAATCATAAAAGAATTACTTGATAGCACATCAATATATAGCCCAAATCTAACAAGTTCTCAAGTGAATGTTATGTGTTTTAGTAAGTAGTTTGCCTCAGGATTAATCCTTTGAAACGGTAAAACACTTAGTAAGTCAGAGCGGTCTATGAGAATGCTTGAGACATCATCTACCCATTTAAAAACGAACATGTTTCTACCTGACAGTCTATAAACCCACTAAGAACTTTGTTTTCAAAAAAGATTTTTACACTTTTTTGTGTTAAGAAACCATACGGTATATTCTCTTCTTTCAAATGATGGAAACCATCGTCTTCTAACTACCATTGTTTTTTTAACAGTTATATTAAAGTTTAAATCAAATTGTAGAAACTCAGTTTTTGATAGCAAAATTAAATGAATTTTAAAACGATTGTAATGTACTCCTTGAAACGAGATCAGATGTAAAGCTTTAAGAATCATGAAAAATTACACTTAAGAGTGAATGGCACTTGTTTGTTTCTACTGCGTTCTGCATATACCAAGAGTAACCACGTTCTCAGTCAGCTAAGGAGGATTCTTAGATAAGCAAAGCGTAGTGGACGAACTTGGGGAGTTTTATATCTGACAGAACACCGTTAATCATTTCTTCAAGAATATCAATAAAGTTTTATCTCGGAAGTAACATTTATAGACAAGTAACATTTCTTGAGGCTTCGAGAGTCAAGCACTAACACAAAAAGTATTTTCTACTCTTAGTCATCAGCAATACCACAGGTGGCTTCTTCACAAAATCTTCCAAAGATGCAGTCAATAAGCAATGAGAATGACGATGATACCATAAGACGAAATAAAATACTTACATTATTTTATAAAACTGATACCAATAATGATGGTTATATTAATGAAGACGAATTTTGTAATTTAATGAAACAATTAGATCCACATAATCAAAGTTTAAATCATAAATTTGATGAAATAACTAAGACAGATGAAGGACGATTAACGTTCGATGAGTTTTATTATTTTCTATTGTCAAATATAAAGGAAAAGTCACCCACAGATTCATGTTTGAATGAATCAGACCGTACAGACCGTATGGTACTCTTCAGAAATAAACTTGAACAACAAATATCAAATAAATTAAACAATGACGAAGATTTTTCAATCCGCATCCAAAGTATACTGGAAAGTGTTGATGTTAATGAAATGACCAAACATTTAGCAGACCGCTGGATGAACTTTAATGATTTTGAAAGACTTGGACAAAAAGGTAGTTCAGTTATGACCGGTGAGTTGATGCAAATCTTTACTTAGTTTAGTTGAATATTTATTTTTTATAACATCTAATAAAATTGTGTCCTTTTAAAGTGATATCTTCATGAAAACCATATTAGTAACCCTACCTTCTAGGAGTATACTACCTAGTAACTCTTCCATAAATTTATAGTCATGTTTTATTGTTATGTACTTTGGAAAAAGATTCGGAATCAGATCATAGCTATGTCAAATCAATTAAGTTAGTTGACTCCTCATGCCCAGCCAAAGAGAAGTGCCGGTCAGTCAAAAGGAAAAGTCTACGAACGTCTATTACTTTGCTGTACTAGCGAAACTGATACTAAATCTGACTTTTGACCTGTTTTCGATTAGTTTTAACTAAGTTTTAAATTTTTCAAACACTAGTGTATTACCATGCATGTATATATGTATGCTTTTAAGCAATACTTGAACTAAAAGTTGCCGATTCCATCAAAACTAATCGAATAGTTACAAAAACAGCTTGACATGTGTAACCTGATATGTTCTATAAAATGGCTGATGTGAAAATCCTACAGTCGACTGAAAATTTCAATTTCATGGTCTGTTTTCTAGAAATCTCACTTGGTTTTCCACAGGATTTTAAAACATCTCAAAAATTTCACCATGGCTCATGATAGTACACTTGGTGTACTCCAACAATATCGTAGGGGGCGCGAAATTAGCGCGATTTTCCGACAGAAAGTCTTTCTCCAAAATGATCCGATCGATGACTGGGCACTCACGGCAGCATCCACTGTAAAAGAACGGAGCATGTTTGAGGTCGCGGTTGTGTGAATTTGTGCTAGACACTATCTAGTAGTTAAGACAGAATTCTTAAGTCTAAGTAATGTGTCGTTACGGAGTTGTACGTAGTTTAAATTGCCAGTTTCCTTAGATGCCGGAAATAGTACGTTTTCGGGCTCTTTTCAAAAATTGAATATCCCAGCAATGCAACAACCTTAAGACCTGCGGTTTTCGCCGAAACTCATGAAACTGATTGCTCTAAAGAAGCCCTCACTATGGAAGAAATCTGAGATGGTCGATTGAGCAGCATTATACGATAATAGGCCGTGGCTTATCTTTAATGGTAGGCATGAAAAGCTGACTAGTATGTTTTCCGTGGCACTAGATTTCGCTCAAAACGTTATTTTATTATCTCGTAACATTTACTTGCTTATCTGGTGAACTACTTTTCTTGACAGGTGGTGAGTCTGCCGAAGATATTTTGCCGGGTGAATATGATTTACTACAATTAGCATGTTGTTCAATTGAACCAAAATGTGCCAAAATAAAAAATGTTCGTTGGCTATCATGTGATCAACCAAACGTATCTGGTATTTGCGCATTTCCGCCTGAGTTTGATGGTAAAATTCCTGTCGATATAGCAACAAATGAACATTTGTCATATTATGCATGTTGTTTAGCAAGTAGTGCTGTAGACATGAAAGTTTCACTTTCATATCGACATTGTTTTCAAAATTTCATTTATAATGAAAATTATAAACAAGATTATGTAAAAAAAGATGGTCACGGTGGATTGGAAAAGCATGCTTTTACACATTTAGATTGTCCGTTAGAAGATGATAGTGGCTATTTTATATTAGGAAAATTTGTTGGTGAAAACAAGAATGAATTGCATTTAACGGCATTTTATATACCAACGAAACACACACTGTATGTTCCACCACTGACAATTCACAGTAATGATTATTTAAAAGGTGCATGGCGAACAATGTTGTCCGATGAAACAAGTATCGATCATGTTAGTTTATCTCATCAGCATCGATCTGACGGACATGATACATACGAGCATTTTACATTTGAATTTGTTCAATAATTCTCCTCCTGAACAAACTCTATATATATTTGAAGTTTTTCATCATATAATTGAGTTCTAGCGTTCAGTTTTGAATTTAGTGCTAAATTCAACAGAAATCTGCTAAAGCATTTTTCTTTTATTTACAGATGTTCAACATTCAAGCAGGAAGTTTAATAACGACAATGAAATACAAAACGTGCTCTTCATACATAGCCTGAATACGTATGCTTTTTGTGTTGCTTCTTAGATCTTTTAGAAATAAAAAAATAAAAGTAGAAAAAGATTTTCTATCAGATGATTCTGTCATTCAATAAGGGTAACTGGGAAGAACGGCAACCGCTGTCACCTGCACCGCTGCATCCATTTTCACCCTCACAACGTCAGATCATTTCCTGGATATTTATCTTTACTTTACTGCATTACGAAATGTAAAAGTGTCTCCTTGGTCGAGCGGTTCAGTGACTGTTCGAAAAGTTAGAGCCAAAGGTGGGTGATTACTAGAAACTCTTAGTATTCAAGTGCACCCTTACCAACACATCACTACACAAGAGCCGAAAGAATCAGAGCCTGCGCCCATTGCTTTCCTAAATCTATACTAAACCGTTCCTCCTTTCTCCAGTTCAAAGTTGTTGCGGACCCAAAGTTTAAGAGCATTGTCCGCGAATTATACTCGCGTTGTTCTAAGAGAAAAGACAGAAAAATCAAATTCACAGAGGCTGAAATTAACTCGGAGACGATTTTGAAGAAAATCATTAAAAGCTTTTTCAATACTTTTTTTAAATAGCAAATAATTTGAATGCAGTTCACTGCACTGATTCAAAGTATGACCTTACGTTTCGTTAAAAGTACTCTTGGACCGAGAAAAATTGATTTTACATCAAAAACGAAGATTTTTTTAGAAATCCTGAACAGTTGTCTAGAGAAGTTTATGCATCCATGCGCATGCGCAAAAGATACCGAGGATGCGTCATCCAAAGACGACATCAAGTTGTGTATAGAAAAAGTGTACATCGTTACAGAATGACGTTTCACGAGAAATTCAAATTTTACCTTTCCCATAGAATTTTAGGGCTAAAAAAGTTGTTATTTACCGGTAGTTGCTCGAAAAGGAAGGAAGCATCTTGAAGTAAAAATGCGGCTGCAAAAGTTGTTCCGAATACCATTTTGTATGACAGAAGACTATGACAGAGGCCTCCAAACTCCTTGAACTCGAATTTTTAATCAAAATTTTAAAAACCGAATTTTTTAATTAAAAATTGAGTTTAAGGAATTTCTAGTCGCAAAGTCTTGTGCCATAGAAAATGACATTCTGAAAATTTTTTCAAATACTCTTTTCTTTCAAAATGTTTCCTTCCTTTTCAAGAAACTACCGGCAAGGTGCCGTGAAAACGTTTTTTCTAAGCTAACAATTAGAGAGACTCTTTAATTTTTGATTGTTTTGTTAGAGGACAGGGGACGGTTTCTGCTAGAAAATGGTCCAATCTGATTTAGAGTGACAATGATCGGAATACTTCCCTTTTCACTTTCCATCACTTCCCACTTACAAAAATTCCTTTTCATCTTTCACCACGAGTTCAACAAAAGTTATTTACCTTTCTCCGCAAATTTCTCGTCCGATTTCAAAGTCCCTGAGTAACTCTTATCTCATACATAGCAAGATAGACAATTTTTCAGGCCTCAAGATAAGCTATAAATAGGTCTTACAAAAATATGCCCTCATGGGTCAATAGTCGAAATACTTGGCCGATATCATCGTTTCCACCTATCCTAGTGCGTTAAAGGAATATTTCTTGGACTCATCTACTCAGAACCGTACAGAAAGATAGAGAATTTTGCGAGCTTCAAAATAAGCCCGATGGAGCAAAGAATTCTGAGGAAAATAAGACATCTCCCGGCTGTCTATAACGCTCTTTCACGCAAATGCAGTAGATTTATGAGTAGCTACGAAGGGCGTGAAAATCACCAAAACATTCCGGTGAAAAAGCGTTATAGACAGCCGGGAGATCTTTTATTTCCCCCAGAATTTTTTTGCACTATCGGGCTGTACAGTTCGCAAAATTTTCTGACCAAAAGCCAAGGACTTGGTTTTCTAGCGGTCAGGTTTTCCAGAAACCATACTATCAACTTTTCTCATGAAACGACGATATGCACCTCGTCTGCTAGAAAAATCTTTGGTCTATTCAAAACAGTATTCAGATTTGTTTCATCTTTTACTGAAAAATATAAAGCAAAGGAGTTCTTGTGATTATGACACACTGTACTGCATAGATAACACTCAAACGCTTCTTTTACATATCTTTAATGACTGGTCCCAGCTTTCTGGATATTCTGATCAACTCGCTTTGTAGAGAATTGTAAGGGTTATCCAATGATATGTTTTTGAAAAATACATAAATTTTCATTATGGCAGAAAAATGACTAAATGAGTGTCTAAAGCACTAAGATAGGTGAAAATGATGATATCGGCCAAGTATTTCGACTATTGACCCATGTGGGTAGATTTTTGAAAGACTTATTTATAGCTTATCTTGAGGCCTGAAAAATTGTCTATCTTGCTATGTATGAGATAAGAGTTGCTCAGGGACTTTGAAATCGGACGAGAAATTTGCGGAGAAAGGTAAATAACTTTTATTGAATTGGTGGTGAAAAATCAAAAGAATTCTTTTTTAAAAGATATGAGAAGGAATTTTTGAAAGTGGGAAGTGATAGGGGAAGCACTTCCCATCATTTTCACTCAAAATCATATTCGGCTATTTTCTAGCAGAAACCGTCCCATGTCCTTTTCCCAGTTGTAGATGACACGTCGAATTATAGGCTTTGAAGTTCTGTTTGGCTTACTAACGTTCGGCTGAGAAAAAAATGAATTACTTAACAAAAATCTAAATGGTAAAAACAATAAATTCAACAAATTATCTAGTTTTTTTAAATAAATCGTATTTTGAACTTTTTAAGAGAATTCAAACAGACTATAAGATAGACTGTGTTGTATGCTGTATCAGATCAGGTATCGCTTGAATTTTTTCGTCGAGTCGTTATTCCGCAAATGGGACATTAAGCTAGTGGAATAGACTGAATTAACATTAATTAGAACTAATTAGTTATTAACAAAAGGGAAACAGCAAACACTTTTTTCTTTCTTTTCTGCAGTAAATATTCTGCACACATTTCTCTATCGATCTAGGCAAGAACCATATTTTTACGATGAAAGAGGAACGACTAGGACGTTTTTTAATAGTAGCCCTATGGTCAAAAATTTAACATCATTTTTCTACGTAATTAATTTTTCTTAGGCAAATAATGTCAGTAAGCCGAAAAAGCTTAACTAACTACGTAGACGAGCACAAACGTTTAGGACTCACTTTGACATATGATCTTGACGGGACATCACATATACACAATATATTAACTGCAACTGGAAGAACAGTTGGTTCTATTAATTTTTTCGGTCTCGAATTATCACGTCAAGTGCGAAATTTAGTCTATAATGCATTTGTTTTAAGTTGTATTAATCATGCTAGTGTACTCCACTATGAAACAACAGACAGAAATTTTCGCAGATTAAATTTTCTTCAATTATAGCGCAGATTTGGGCGATCTTCTGACGTTTCATACGCTGTACTTCTCCAACTACGCATTTTCCCATTGCACGAAATTGTGCAAAAGGAAACTACGAGTTATGATGATACATTCGTATGAAGGCCGTACACTTATGTATATATTTAAATAGTCTTTACAAGTGCTCCCTCACATGTTACTAGCTATACTATACATAAATGTCGACCTTATTCTTAACGTCTACACGAAGTGTACGATGGGTACGGGGGGACCAGCGATGCTAGTTATAAAACACCAAATGATATATAACTCTGCCGAGCGGTTAGAACGGGGTATTATACCCCGAATATCTCTTCAATAAACAGTATCCCCTGAAAAGGCATGTAGTATATGACTTGTTTAGCGAACAAATATGGGACTGTATGCAACTTTTTATGCTCTACACGAGACGAATCTTGAGATTTTTGCGGCTATTATGTCATGTGACGGTGGGCGGACCTGAATAGAAGTACCCATCAATTTTTTGCACCAAAGATAGAAGAGCGAAAAAGCAAGTCTTTCTGTAATGTATCTTTGCTCAGAATTTTGTGGCATGATCTTCTATGGGTTTTCTGGAAAACTTCAATTTTCATTTAGTCATATTATGACGATTCGCAAAAATGGCCCGATCGAGTCGAAATTCTCACCACAGAGACTCCAGACCCTATCTCAGATTCTAAATTATTTATCGAAAAGAAATGTTTTCTTCTCGAGATATACGAAAAATCCTGAAAATCACGCCAAAAAAATCAATTTTTTCCAGCGAAGACGGCGATTTTTGCAGTTTTAAAGCATTATTCAGAGATCATCTTTCTCATCATATCGCCGGCGCATTGAGTGTCGCTAGTTTATTCGAATGTAGCAAATTAGACAATGTAGTGGTTGTTAAACGTCCGTTTCTCTCACAATTGGCGGGAAAATTCTAATTAGAGCTTTTTCTCAAACACTCATGCAAGAATCTGCACTTTTTCATATTTTTTTGAGGAAAAGCTTAAGTTCTTTGTTTATTTTAGGCATAGCAGCCATTTTGAACTTCGATTAGTTAGCGCACAGAACCAGTTAAACCTTAACCCGTTCGTTGATACTTTTCAGTGTTGAAATAGTAAACTAACCACTATAAATTATTTCTTTTAAAGTTAGATAAATCACACAGAGTGAACAAAGAGCAAAAAATCTGATATCTGTGTTTGGACGCGGAAACACTTTGGCAGTGGCGCCTAAAAACAGGCATAAAATAAACTTTTTTTCTGAATTTCCCTTTTTAAAACTTTAGGCTAAATTAATACAAAATTTTATTCCAAGAATCTCTCTCTCTAGATATATATATATGAGTCTGTATCTCTGAGCCTGGCAAAAGTTCATACTTTTCATATGTATATTACATCATTTATAAATTAATGCTACAATTGTTTACGAATTTGATA